ATTTTGTTTTTCGTTCGAACTTTCAGACTTCGTGATTGAGGTTTTGTTTTTATTTGTTTTATTTTGTTTTTCACCTTGATATTTACTTAAAAAACGTATTTACTTGATATACTGTTGTGTATACTACCTAGATGCCGCCACATAAACATAGCGCCATGATCGCAAATTTTGTTGAGAAGGGGCTGGTGTGTTGTGATTTATTTTGACAGATTTATGGACATTTAAAGAAACTTTCATCGCGAAATACTCTGTAGAATTCCTCGTTACTTACAGTGTGTTTCGTGAGTATCCTTTTAAGGTTTTGTTCGTTAAAAAGCCGTCGGTGAAGGAAAAATGACTGTGTTGGAATTGTCTCACTATCGCCATATATAAGTGTTAAACTTAATGTAGCCCTGTAGCCCATCATTGTTGAGTGGCTTCTTAGTTCTTGGAGTTGTAGTGCTAAGTAAGCTATTCTGATAACTACATTTTAACTTTTATTAACAAACTAATGATGCTAGAGATTCTCTGATCTTTTTGGTTGCGGAATTTTTATGAAAACCCTCCTTAGTGTGACATGATGTGATATTGGATAATTCTCAAGATTCCCAAAATTCAATATCAAGTAGGTTTTCTTTCACATTGCTTAAATTTGGTTTAGTTTTAGTATTTTCCCAGTTGGTTTTGTATGCATCAGTTTCCAAATTTTCTTAAATTGACATTAGTCGCAAAACCCATAGTCCACAAAGCTCTTGGCCCGGCCCGTCCATAGCCCGTTAACTAATGATATTTGGGGGCCCGGCCCAGCCCGTAGCCCAGCCCGGCCCATGGCCCGTTGGGCTGGCCCGGCCCGTGGCGAACACTGCTGCAGAACTGCTTGCTATATCAGTGTTCTCAGTTTACGTGCCGAGCCCCGAAACGAGTATATGGTACCTAAGCCTCGGGCCTAGTGAATTGACGCCCTCATACTGAGAGAAAACAGGCCAGTACCGTAACCTGTTGACAGACATTAAACAGTTTGTTGGCAAAACAACGTTTAACATAAACATTAAACACATAGCCATGAACTAAAAGATCAGATGATACTTTACTCAAATATGACGTTATGTAAATGTCTAATTTAGATGGTTCATTATTTCAGCAGACTGGGACATGCAGATCCTGTTGGAGCTTTAAACTGAGATGAAAATGTAAGTCATTCATAAAAGCTCCGGAGCCTTCAATGTTATGCTAAAATAATGTGTTGAGTATGGTTGAGTCTATGCAAATTCGCTCCATTCGATTGCTCTGTTAAAACACATAAGACACGCCATTCAGCCAAAGTGTCAGCTTCAGTGTCAAATTCGGCTTCAGACTGTGGATTAAAAGTTTTCCGAAATTATTAAATCCCTCAGGAACAACTGGGAACTCCCTGGGAAAGGCATGCTGGGGCCTTTTTCGTCCCAGTACTTTCACCAATGCGCAGCGCCAGTGGCCCAAGCTGTCACCTCCACTGAGCAGCGGGTATTTGTGTCCCACCGTGCACACAATGCGCCACAGCGGATACACACCTGGTCGGGCGGGTCTGGGCGGGCCATTCTGCAGCCGACACCGACAGGGCCGCCGACGGCGTACGGGCGGACGCACCACCGCACAGTGGGCCGATATGCCATTCTAGCGCGACAGGGCCTGAATCTTCGAACGGAACCCTTGGTTTTTCGCGAGTAATTCGCGTAAAAAGCGGCCGATCGCAACGAAACTTTCAGTACCCTCGCGATAACTACTTTTACAGCTAACCTGAAAATTTCATGACCCTGACCTTAATGATCTTTGACATGTGACCTTCTTTCGAGACCATGTTTGGCCGGAATCGCGATTCAGCGTATGTCGGCTCGCATTAGCCGCGGGTTTGCAGTCTTTTCTTGGTTTACAGCGTTCAAACATGGGATATTATGTTGCTCCCATGCATTAGGGTGGGTGTCAAGGTCACCAGAAGGTCAGGTAAGGTCATTGACCTTTGATGACCTTGGTTCACTTTTTCGAGTTTTACATGTTTCTAGGCTAGTTTTTGGAGCTGAATTCGAATCTAGCAACCATTTGAACATTTACTATGTAGCTTTGGTGCCTTCGTAACATGTTACAAAGCTGTCAGAGGCGGTTGCCACCTACTGCAAATACCCGGCAAAACCCTTACTGGTTGACCTGACCTGACCTGACCCGACCTGGCCTAAATGTATGAAGACATCATCTATGATCGTAAATAACATTATATTCGTGATCAGCACCAAAAAAAAAACATAGCAGCCACCCTTTACGACGTTCTAACAGGTCCCGATTTTCCCGACTTTTGGGTCATTGACCTGACCTGGAAGGTCAACCGATGACCTAGGACATTACAATTGGGTATCATCAGCTTCCTCTTGTCACGGGCAACACGCTCGTCTTTTCCGCGAAGCTCTAGCTCGATCAGGGGCGAAACGGCGGGGGGGTCCAACGGACCCCTTCTATACGTTCGCGGCTGGAAAAACACCACTAGGGGCGAGGGTTAAGCCAAATCTGAGGGCTTAATTCAGAAAGACCGCTAAAAGAGCAATTGAATGCACTTTTCTGCGACGATGTAGCTCTATTGGTCCCCGAGGTAAGGGCCGATTTTCGAGTAATGTTGATATATGCAACCTTTTACCTTTGATGACCTCTGGTTACGTGACCTTTGACCTGACCTAGAAATGACTAATTACTCCATCTGGAATTTCGGGCGCTCTTTCGAATGCCACTTACTACGTGTCGCTATGTGGCCCAAGAGCCGAGTTAGAAGGGGAGTGTTCAATCAACACCTCCCGGCCCGGCGCGTTTGACGCCGAGCACCGGTCCGGCGCGGGTTGATGTTTGGCTGCTACATCCAAAGTCGCAAAAAGTCGCAAAAAATGACTGTTGGATCTTGTAGTGCAATGAATCATTGACATGTAGCGAGATTTTCGAAGCGGTACTCTGCGGTACTTTTTTTTAAAGTCTATTTGTGTGTGACATCAATTATGTGAAATTATATTTTCGTCTTTAAATCTTTGCGGTGCCAATACATCACCCCAAGTAAGAGTTTGCCATTTTCATGTGGTTATGTGTGTTCTGCAGACCCGGAGCTATCGTTTGATGTAGGTATATAAATGTGGAATGCCTCCTCAAATTGTGATTGTTTTCGTGGATCAAAGATACGTTGTCGAAGAGTGCGGGGGACGAGTTCGGTCAAAACGATTCCGAAGTTCGTGTTTAAGCTGGGTTTTCGCCATGAAATAGCAATTGTGTTGGAAAACAAAGACCACAGCAATGTAGTATGATCATTTTTGAACAAATTGGTATAGGTTTCATTGCACATCCACAAAGTTCGATTTTTTTACTCATGTCGTGCTAGACCTGGCGATCGGCCCAGTGTGCACCGCGCCCCTGGGACGCCGATTTACGTCAGATGCTGACGATGCCCGCATTGGACGTAATGTCTGCGTGCCAGCACGTCAATCGTACGCAGAGAACAGAGCTCTGCAGCTCGTTCGGGGATACAGTGTCATAGTAATTGGTCTATACGGAGATAAGGTGACGCAACTATTGGAACATTGGTTTCGTGCTTATAGCTAGGGCTCCTATAACGCAGTTCACTGCTGAGAATAACTAGGAAAAGGCTTTCGATTTTAATCATCGAAAATGTCACATTTCAACAGAACCTAATTTGCAATAAAAACCAACGAGCAAATCGTTGAAACGGCGTCCTTTTTAAAGAAAACGGCTTGCACCATCACCCTTCATGGTATGGTTGATTATTCATGCGATATTAGATTTCTTCTCATCTGAATCTGAAAATAATCAATATTACTCAAAAGTTTGATTAATGGCTTTTATTTGACTTTTCAGTAATTGACAACTAACTTCAAAGTTAGCAAGTAATTTAAGTTGGGAAACGATGTCTGTTTTATATGGAATAGTTAATCGTCATCTCATATAAAGTCATCGCCTTAACAGACAACTTTCCATTCCCGCATAGCGCCATATAAATCGCAACTCCATTTAGTGCATGTTGGCTGAGGCCGAGGCTCCACATATAAACGCACCTAATCATTATTTTCGTTTATTTATTGTAGACCACAAATAATGAGGGCATTTGCACATATCACCGTGACAAGATTCGACTCACGACGAACGGTAAATATAAACGTCGATGTGTTTATTATACCGTGAACAGTATCAGATACCACGCAATATTCGTCTCACTCGGAGAGTTTTGTTCCGAAAACTTGGAAGCTGGAGCAGTAAAGCGTCTGACATGGCGGTGGCCGTGCCGGCGACATTTTTCACCACTTATATCCATGGTCCAGTGATCCAGAGTGCACCTAAGTGTGCTAATTAGAGATGTGGCTAATTTCCACGGTACTGAGAAGGGAGACAGGTGTGCCTAAGCTGGGAACGACTCGATACTAGGACCGTGCCGCCACGTTTTCGCTAGATATCTTATCAAGGAAGGCGTTGAAGTGGCAGGCGGGGAACTTTGAAGATGGAAGCACTGGTCGTTTCCGGACAAAAAAAAAAGTTCTGTTTCATCTAGACTTCCTTGTCCTGTTTTTATTCGCTTTATTATTTAGGCACAATAACTTCTACGTAACTTTTCGGGATAGTTGTGGTAACTATCCTAAGTCTAGAGAAGGGTTTGGGTCTATTTTTACGTTTAGGTACAACTGCACCATCAACGCTCAGAAAAGATTTGCCGCCGGCGAACAGGGAGACCAGTGCATGGAAGGGAGCGTATGACCACACTCTTCCAGTTCCTTTACAGTCCATTGTCATTAGCTAAAGGCTAGTCCTGAAACATACATACGATATACCTGAAACATGGATGAGGCATACATCAACAAAAAGAGGAAACACATACCTACCACAAGAGGCTGACAACTGCATCTGATTGTAGGCATAGATGCATGTACCTATCGATTTTTTTTTTTATAAATTTAGCTCGAATGTTTGAATGGACGGATTGACAGAGCCGGAGCCCACGCTAAGCAGAGCTTGTTGCGTAGACCCCGACCCCTACCGTCCGATCGCGCAATTCCGGGTAACGGGAGAATTTTATCAGAGAAGATTATCAGATTATCAGAGAAGAAACTGAATTAAGTGTCATAACACATCTTCAGGTCCGGATGACATAGCGGGAGAACGGCTGCCTCCCTCCCCCACCCGCGCTCATCACTCGTCCTCAAACAGAGGACAGCCGTGTCACTGCCATTCATTCTTTCTTCCGGGCGACCACAAAGAAGCAGCCAGTGTGGTCCGCCATCTTGTCCAGAGGACACTGACGCGGGATCTGGTGCCACTGTTCCTCGCAGAGGCCGGTAGAACGGAGCGACTCGCTGATCATCGAGTGTGTAAGCGACACTGACGGAAAACGCGCCTCCTCTACCAGGTAGAATGAGTTTCCTAGCGCGCCCTGCCGGCCAATTATATAGTGTCACTCGGGCTAGCTGAAAATAATAATATTAATGTTCTAGAATTTATAATCGAGGATCTGAGGCCTGAGGGACAGTGAATATGATTGGACGAACACTCCATAACGGAAGCATTACTTTTTAATATTCGTCATCATTTCGTTTCTATTTTGCTATTTTCTATTTTACTATTTTCGTTTCTCATTGTACGCTTTGTTGACAAGAAACGAGAAACACGGATGTCGCATTTTAGTCATGCAAGAGTCGTGCACTGAAAACAATTTTACCCGAAGCTGGCGAATTAAGCGTTGCTCTGCGGGTGGTATATGTGTATTAACTCGCCATGTCCAGATTCTAGCTAGAGGGTAAGCAGACTTGCCTGCCTTATTACCGTAAACCGGGGTGAGTTGATATGGATTTTGAGGTTATTCTAGATTTCGTTAAAAGCCACATTCATTTACGGAATTCTTTTTGTGCCAGTTTCATGGCACATGCCTTGGGGAGGCAATCAGCAAAAATGAATAAAAAATGTATATATTAAGCCCCTTTTTTAAAACGCCAAAGTTCATATCAACTCACCACCCCACAGGGGGTGAGTTGATATGATTTTGGATTTTTCAAAATTTCTCGGCTAAAGAAGCTCAGAGGTGAGTTGATAAAATGCCAGTGTTTAAAAAAAGGATGAGAGAACACATCCTGAAAGAAACCATTAGAAAAATGCTAGTAGTTTGGCAGCAGACCTCACATTCATGAAAACGCAATCATGTCCAACACAGCGCGATCAAAATGGCTTGATTTTAGCAGCATCATTTTTTCGCTTTATGATACTTAGTTTTACTTAGAACATTCTGAACTTGGCTAGTCACGTGTCCTCAAGCCAACGGTATCAAAACTGGCAATATATTTTGGAATTACAAGTGTATTTTCTTGTAATTAAAACACATTGTCAGTTGCGGGTCAAGGTTGATATGCCTCTGACAGAAATAATGGATTGAAATGAAAGAATACATATACTTCTGAGCTTTTGTTGACTGGTAGTCAACAAAATATTAATGAAGTGAAGTGAAGCGAATCTAATTCGGACTGTATTCTAAGCGACATAAAACAGAATTCGGCATCAAAAGCCAAAATTAACCCTCGCACTTATAGGCGGGCGAACGGACCACCTCGGCTTTTCGCACATAACTCGCGCAAAAAGCGGCCGATCACGACGAAACTTTCAGTACCTCTCGAGTTTATCAATTTTACACATGTTCTAAAGATTTCATGACTCTGACTCAAATGGTTTTTGACTTGTGACCTGATTCTCGAGACCATGCTTGGCCGGAATCGCGATTTGGCGTAGTCGGCTCACATTATCCGCGCATTTCCAGTCTTTTTGTGATTGTAACGTCCAAACATGTAAATGATGTTGGTCCCACGCAGTATTTTGGGTGTCAACTGTCAAGGTCGCCTGAAGGTCAGGTCAGGTCATTGACCTTTGGTGATCTCGGTTCACTTTTTGGAGTTTTACATGTTTCTAGGGTAGTTTTTTTCGGGCCGATTTCGAATTTAACATGCATTTGATCATTTATGAAGTAGTTTTAGTGCCTTCGTAACATGTTACGACACCGTTAGTGGTAGCTGACACTTGACACTCCCTATGGATAGCCGGCAGGACACATACTGGTTGACCTGACCTGACCTGACCTGGCCTAAATGTACGAAGACATCTGTGAGCAAAACTAACATGACATTCGCCATCAGCAACAGCCAAAAAATAATAAACTCGCTTTACGAACTTCAAATAACCCCCTATTTTCCCGACTTCTGGGTAATTGACCTGGCCTGGAAGGTTAACCAATGACCAAGTTGGCTATCATCGGCTTCCTCGCGTCTCGGGCAACACGCTCATTTTTTCCGCGAAGCTCTAGCTCCACCAGGGGCCAAACGACGATGGGATTCCAACGGACCCCCCCCCCCCCATACGTTAAACGCTGCCAAAACACGAATACGGGCGAGGGCTAAACACCAGTCAATTTCTTTATATTGTTTGTTCCATTTCATTTTGCCTCTCATTCTCGGTTGGCAACTGCCAAGCAGGAAAACTAATCAGTTTCACGAGATCAGAATTCCCGCGCTGTTAGCCATACAGAAATGACAGTTCTGTCATTTTCGAAACTACGAATAAATATAACAGTTTTTTTAATCTGTATGTAATATAGGTGTTCTATAGTGTTCCTTTGTAGCTTGTAGGGAGCCATCTTGAGACTTGACAGGGAGCTGTGCTGTGCCTTTTTTCATGTTAGGTATGTCCACAGAAAAAAAAACTTTGGGGTTACTGATGTTAGTTGTCGGACCTTCGTCCCCGTCTTGAGTTGAGATTCAGTTTCATAACGTTTCGGCCAGTTACTCTCCGGCCGTCGTCACTCGTCAGGTGTTCTTTGACCCTCAAGGACCTGGATGTTGGTGGCGTTGCGCCGTACGCGTCAAACAGTTCGAAAGCTCCTGTAGTCAGCGGGAATCGAACTCGGGTTTCCCCGGTGATGGTCCACGGTTGTAACCACTCCACTATCGAGGCAGGCTTGACTACGGCCGGAGAAGCTACTGGCTGAAACGTTGTGAAACTAACATCTCAACTCAAGACGGGGACGAAAGTCCGACAACTAACATCAGTGATACTAACAGGCCTCGTCTCAAGCATTCAGAAAAAACTAAAGCTTTTGGGGTTGATGGAATGATGTGGGGAAAGAAAAGGAGAAGAGTTGGTCTAATTGACTTTGTCTTACCTGCAGACCCATATTTCATGCTAATTTGCATGCCTACCAGCCTGGTATCAGCTTTTATCATGCATATCAACTCACCACCTGATGGCATATCAACTCACCACCTGTCACTTTTCTTAAAATTATAAAAAAAGCGTTGTTATAGGTGAAACCCAAAACTACCTGGGATCAACAGTAAATTGATGGTAGTTTCTTTCCCAGTGCATGTTGTTTCATGAATATCCACCGTCTTTGCTGTAGGGTGGGGACTTTTCCTTAGTTTCAAAATCAGAAGAAAAAAAGGACTTTGAAAAAAGTAATGTGTTAAGAAGGCACTGCACCACATGCATGCCTTCCTCAGCTATATGCATCACTTATTGGTTGCTTCACTTCACAGAAAAATAAAACTAAAAATTGGTTTACAAATGGATGAGCAACACACATTTTAACATTTTTCGAGCAATTTATATCAACTCACCACCCCATATCAACTCACCCCGGTTTACGGTACTCGTAAATATGCACCGTACCCACAGTCTGCAGTAAGGTAGCTACTCAGCAGCGGATATTGTCCCCGCGGGTGTCGAGTCATTGGCATAGCCCTCACTTAAAGAGTTGGAACTACTCGAGGTATCGTAAACGCGTATCCGTGGATGGCGAACCTTTACATAACCTGCCCTGAAGGAGTTGGATCTACTGTTACAACTAGATGGCGTTGTCTCATACGGTTTTGAATTACAACAATTTTTTAACTTTTTTTGAACCAATGATATGTTGGCACATTGTTTGGCGGTTTTCAAGTGGGGGCGAAAGTACAATTGTTAGGGTGCATCTTTAAAACCTCTGCAATATTCATCACGGGACGATTGGCAACGCTTTTTCTTCCGAAACTACCAAGTGAGACCATTTTGATTCTTATATAGGTCACGAAAGCGGCGGCGCCACATCTCCTTGATTTCGGGCGGTCTGCATGGCTGCCGGTGACTGAGTCATGTCGAAATTCCTATGGGAATTCGATTTGACCTTTCCCACCGATGTAAAACTTTCTCACCGATGTTTTCTAGGTGTGAGATTGCTATAATATAGATATTTTCCCGCAAATATGTTCAAGCGTGGGAGTTTTTTTGGCACTCGTGATTTGGTCGGCGAAGGGTAGGCGTGGAGGGTAATCCCATCTCCTAGGGGTTTGTGGGGCGCTGCTGCCAGGTAGGCGTCGATGAATACCTTTCGATGGAGGGGTCGCGAGCCACTGGTGCGCGAATAGTCGTGGAGGGTTACTACTCTCCAGAGTGAATTGCGAAAGTGTTATGTCCTAAATTGACTCCTGGGAGGGTGGTTAAAAATGGTTGCGGATAGGGGTACCCGCGAAACACCGGTTTACTCGCCGGCCCTGGGTTAAACTGTTTTCAGTGTGGGCATCTCGAGTTTTTTTTTTTCTCTCGTCTTCTTACAGGTCCTAACACACCAGGGTTCGACATGCAAAACTGGTTCCCTGTAAAATGTTGATATCCTTATGAAGTTTATAGAGTATTTTCCAACCTAATATGCTTCTTAACCCGGCCGGGCCCGGGGGGTAATCCCAACCACCGCAGCCCGGGGGGGGGCGTTTTTCGCCCCCCCCCCCCTGTCTAACTCCGTAAATAAGGGAGCTACAGAAACAAAAGCGATACCAAACGAAAGGTCCTTACGAGACGATTCTAATGCACCTAAAATTTTTGACCTCAGGTCAATTTTCAAGGTCAGAGGTCAAGGTCAAAGGCCAAAACCGGCACATGTGTAGTGATCTCAAAGTAAGCCTTCTAGAGGACGGCAGGCTGCATCAAACCGGCAAAATTGGGTGTCAAACGAAAGAAGAGAATCTGAGGATTCTGAAAATGTGCTCCAAATCAAAGGTCAAGGTCAAGGTCACGCTCAAAATTGACCTCAAACTTGGCACTTTTTCGCACATCTTGCGTGCTAACTTCCAAGATGTTTTGAAATGTTTTGAGGCTTATCAGTTCCCTATTTGTGGTTCATCTTACGATACAAGGCTGCTCAAAGGTCAAGGTCACAGAAGAGTATCCCTGCTAGAGGCTATTTCACTGATTCAAGTTAGTAATAATAAATAAGACAATTTTGCCATCCGGAAGCTCTAAATGAAGGCTTAGAGGAAAATAGATGCCAGATTCGTGATCAGCGGGTACAAATCCATCATAAACGACCCTTCATGTGTCAAGGTCAACCAGAGGTCATTCGAGGTCACATGAGGTCAACATGAAACTTGACCTTTTCCGAACAAAATATATATCATTCGACGCGGCTTGACAAGGCGAATGCGATGGTACCACTGCCGTAGCTCTAGGACCATTTTTGTCGAAGTTACTTGCGAAAAACTAAAACCACATTTCGAGGTCGTTGACCTGACCTCTGACCTCAGGTCACCAAAACTATTTTTCTATTTTTCTCTAGGTGAAACGCTACACAGCCGTGCTCGTAATTTGTCTTTATCTCTAAAACTCTATTTTTAGCAGCTATTTGAAGTTTGCGTCTGTGACGCCGAAGTTTGCCGTGCAGGGGTCTAGAAAAATGGACCTTGTGACGTCATCAAGGGGGCTATGTCCAAATTTTTTACTTCAGAAGATGTCAAATTGATGGGAGAAAAGGTACTGAAAGTGTCGTCTTCCTATCCCTAAGCGTTCGGGAGTTATCGCAAATATTCGCCAGGGGGGGCGTTTTTCGCCCCCCCCCCCGGGCCCGCGAGGGTTAAACCAATTTTTGACTGCAGGTAAGCTCATTATTATAAGATATTAACCTGATTACCTGCATAATGAGGTAGCCTCCGGGCTTTAAAAGCGTCGTCACATTTCTCAGGGCCTGCTGATACTGCGTCAAGTCGGTGGCGGCAAACTCCAAACACAGGCTACTTAGCATCACATCAAACCTGAAACGGAGAGAAATTTAGTTAACTAATCAGTTATTTCATGTGCTGCCTGTCTCTGCCTCGGTTTCGTCAACGAGTCGAACAGCAATGCTGTGCAAAAGCATGGAGTCATGGATCACTATTGGAGCTTATCAGTTACTTCCAGTTACCACTGGTTAACCGAAGCAATGATTGCAGACCTTTCAGGCTTATTTGCATTTGATCAACTGGAACAGTCTGGTTCAGACGCTCTGCATTATACCACGTGCCTGTTCGGGACGGCGGCTCCCAGCGGCTCCTCCTGCAGAACATCTGCTGGAAGGACTCGGTTGACCTTGTGTCGGACCCGGTCGGCAAGCTGGGACGGGGTCAGCCCGCCTCCCTCCAGGGCAGCCACGTACTTCAGGTGGGGGCTCCAGTCCAGCTGATCTTCCCCCTTCTTCAGCCACTCCATAACCGCCTCTCTGAGAAACAGAAACAGCCAAACGGTGGTTACCACCGGATCCAAGAACACGAATAAATTGAGTAGCTCGCTATATTCGTATAAATTAGCCAACTTCATTAAAGTTGAACTCGTATCAGCTGACATACTCTCAGTGCTGTACCTTCTTACCTATACTTTGTACATTACTGCATTTAGCACATCATATGCATATGTCGCACATGGCATGTATCGATATGTTCTATGTATAGCTAAATTAACACAACACTCAAGTCCGGGATAGTATTTCTCACCGGTTGGCAGGCACGAGATCGGCCATTGTGATGGTGTCGGCCCACCGGGAGGCCGAGAGTACGGCAGTGATGGTCGGACCACAGCCAATGTCCAGAACTTCCCGACCCGGGCAGTCGGTCAGCCCTGCGCAGAACAGGGAGTCGTCTCACTGCCGTAGGAGGCACCAGCATGGCTTAAATACAACAAAATGCATCTGTGATGCAAGCAGAAACTTAAGCTATATGTGTTAATGGATTTATTGGGTTTTGAGTGCAATTATGCCGAATAATATGAGGTACAACGTATTCGGGTGGACTCATTTCGTCAGAGACGGATTCGACACCCTTTTCAGAAGCAGAAATAATACGAGACGCGTCCACACGAATGTGTTGTATACGTCTCATAAGATATGCTTCTCTTTTAGGTACTGCTCAGTTATACCGAATGTTTGTTTTGTTCTGTCCTTCAAAGGCTTGAGCACGGAATATATACCTAGTCTACGACTGTCGTATCCGTGGCTTGAGGATGGCTGTTCACTCTGTTCAGATTAGAATGAATTTTAGGTGGTAGCGGTAGGTTTTTTTTTGGAACCCCAACTCTCTGTCTACTGTCAACCCGAAGGTTAGTACATACATACCATTTTTTCATGCATATTCAAGGTGCAAAATAGAAACTGTGGCAAAGTCTAACCCGCGCACCGACGGGGGGGGGGCGGATATCCGCCCCCCCCTGAGGTTTTTCGCAAATAGCGGGAAAACCGCGGCGCGTAGCGCCGCGAAATTTGGTATGACTATTCCCTTATCAATTTTACACATGGTGTGCAAGTTTGAACCTCCTACCTTTCAAGGTCAGGTCACCAGGTCACTTTGAATGACCCAACCTCAAGTCACTTTTTTGCAACTTTGTCACCGTGCCAGAGCTACAGTAGATGTCGTAGGCCTTTGAAAGTCGCAGGATGTTATTAGGTCATTAGTAGCTACAATTTTTATATCTCGGAATTTTGATATCGGTGACCTAAGGTCAGGTCAATTTCGCGACCTCCCCATTATAAGTCAATGGGGGAAAAATCAACTCCCTGTTTTTACCACTAAAACGGGTCGGAATGGCCCCATATACCATACATGACTTCATATACGATCAACCTTCACTACCTTGAGGTCTGTTTTGCTGTTGGGCAGCTGTGAGGTCATGTGACGTCATCAAAGGTCACCAAAGGTTTTTGGCCAATAACTCCGTACAGGAACAAGATACAGACGCGTGGATGGTCTCATTGTGTTCAGCTCGTCAAGACGCATCGAATGATATACATGATGACCTCGAGGTCACGTGACCTGAGGTCAACCTTTGACCTTGACCTTTCGAGGTCAACATATATATCATTCGATGCGGATTGACGAGAGGATCACGATGATGCCCTTAGTTTGTTCCTATCTTGACTAATTCGAAAGTTATTCGAGAAAAACTCTCTCCATATTTAGCGCCGCCATTTTGACTTTTTCGACCCCTGTGACGTCATCTTTGACCTGACCTGAAAATGACCTTAGTAAAAATTGTAGATCTTGACCGTGCGTATCCGATGCCGTTTACCGCTTGTCGCTATCTTGCTTCGTTCTCGAGATCTCAGGGGGGGCGGTCATCCGCCCCCCCCCCCCGTCGGTACTAAGTTGGCGCAGACCCCCGTCGGTGCGCGGGCTAATCAGTCGAACTATCGTGTACTGCGGCACAGTCTAACCAGTCAGTCAAACTAGCGTGTACTGCGGCGCAATCTAACCAGTCAGTAAAGCTTGCGTGTACTGCGGCACAGTCTAACCAGTCAGGCAAACTAGCGTGTACTGCGGCGCAGTCTAACCAGTCAGTTAAACTAATGTGTACCTAATGCGGCACAGTCTCACCATGCACTCGAACTATCGTGTAATGCGGCGCAGTCTAACCAGGCAGTCAAACTTGTGTGTACTGCGGCACAGCCTAACCAGTCAGGCAAACTAGCGTGTACTGCGGCGCAGTCTAACCAGTCAGGCAAACTAGCGTGTACTGCGGCACAGTCTAACCAGTCAGTCAAACTAGCGTGTACTGCGGCACAGGCTAATCAGTCAGTGTAACTAGTGTGTACTGCGGCACAGTCTAACTATCGTTTTCTGCGCCACAGTTTAACCAGACAGTCAAACTAGCGTGTATTGCAGCACAGTTCAACTATCGTTTTCTGCGGCACATGTGCCGCAGAAAACGACAGGTCTAAGCAGGCAGTCAAACTAGCGTATATAGCGGCAGAGCCTAGCCAGTCAGTGTACTGCGGCACAGCCTAACCAGTCAGTCATCCCAGTTGAATAACATAAAGTGTGAGTGGAATTTGGAAAATATATTTCATTTATTTTTCTGTGCCTGGTAAGTAGAGCTTACATAATCCTTTAAACTAGTGATTCAACAGACTTAAATCAGCCACCGGATGTCAATCGTTAGGGATATTTAAATGTGTCACTCTTAGTAATCGTACCCACCTTCAGCGAATGTCTGGTGCAGCTGCTGGAGGAAGAACTGCACCTCGGGGTCCACCTCCGAGTAGTACTCACGGTGGTACCTGGCCGAGTCAAACGACGCGTACAGTTGCCTGGTTTCGGTCATCGTGGGGCCGTCACTGCGATACCACGTCTGTCTAAGTCCCGGGTGCTGAGCTAGATTGAATAAGACGACCGCCTTCCACCCTGACCAGCTGCGGAGATTATCTTTGACTATTCCAATCCAGCAGAGTCTACCAGGGGTTAACTGGAATCCTGCAGAGCTTTCCAGTACTCTGACACCTCAGCTGACCAGCGCTGTCGCCGTCCTCTGCGTCCTCCTGGAGCCCAGTGACCGCTCCGGTCCGTCGCGCCCCGTTTTATCCCTCTGCCGCTGACCGGACGGTCTGAGATGTCGGCCATCCGGAGCAGATACCGCCCCGGTCCGGTCCCCGAGGACCGTTTCAGGTCGCCTTATAGCGCGCTACATATGGAACAGGAGGTGTGGAGACCCGCGACAGCCCTGCCCGGGACGATAAGAGCTGTGGAGAGCTGGGCCAGCCTCGTCCCCTGCGAGCGTAGCAGAGCTGCGCTGGGGTGACCTGTCACCGCGGGTGCACGACCACTAGCCACCGGGCACGTCAGGCCCTGGGCAGCCGGACAGGCATGAACAACTAACCTGCAGGTGGACCAGATAAAAGGACTTGCACTTTGCAAGGTTAGGGAAATAAACGTTATCTTCTCTGGTCCATGTAGGCAATGAATAGCTCAATCTGCTAGGCCCAGGATTACATGTGTTATAATGTAGGTAATTGCACTGCACTAGCGTTTATATTTTGGAAAGAAGATACGTGCATGTAGACTGTAGAGCCTTCGATTCATGCCTTATCAGTCGTGCCAAATAAGAGGTTGCATTAAGATAAGTCAGGTCAGATCAGGACAGAAAGTCGGACGTTGGGGTAAAGGCTGGTTTGATTATAGTAATTATTAGGGTGGATAAAGTTGGGGGTAAAGGCTGGTTTAATTATAGTAATTATTAGGGTGGATAAAAGGACTTGCACTTACCAATGTCAGGGAGTTTCGTTCGTACCTAATATCGATGACAGTCATCGACATTCAGGTTCATATTCCTCCCGAATATCGCTGATCTAGAATGCGCATTTACTTTCACGTTCAGTGTCCAGTTTTGTCAACAGAAAAATAGCCGACTGCGGAATTTTTTGCCTCAAGACCTTTTCACATACGGCCAGCGTGAACGGTATGCCCTATCTATTTACGTGCCCATCGCGCTTAGCCGCTTACGTTCCGTATGTGAAGCGGTCTTTAGGCAAAAAAAAAAAAAAAATCCTGCAGGCGGCTATTTTTCTGTTGGTTAAAGTGGTCTCAGATCGATATTCGTAGATCACTTTAACATATGGCTTTCACAAAGTTAAGGATACCGAAATGTATCTCACCAGGGGTGAAATTTTCGTAAAATGATTGTGGGACTGGGTGCCCAGCTGTAGGGGCGCCAGGCCGTTTTGGGGCGTAAAGAATATTCTGTATGGAGCCTAAATTAACACCGAATTTGATAGCATTGCAAGCCGAAGGGAGCTTCAAGTGGCACTGTCTGACTAAGCAAATACGGTTAAAAGTGTAAAGTGACCGGAAGGGCGTCAAAACAAAACAAAAAATGTAGAGGGGGCTGGGGGAGGCGCCATCCAGTAGGAGGGGCACCAAATGTAAGGGCGCCAAACGGTTACGAGGGCGTCGTGAGACCATGAAAAGGGCCCATTCTCCTAAAAGGGCGCCGAGTGATTGAAAACGTTTTATGGTCCAAGGGCGCTGAGAAGCCAGAAGGGCTCCGCACATTTAGTAATGCTAAGTTGGTGGGGACGTAGGGGCGCCAGACGGTTACGAGGGTGCCGTGAGACGATGAAAAGGGCACCATTCTCCTATAGAAGGGCGCCGAGTGATTGAAAACGCTACGTGGTCCAGGGGCGCTGAGAGGCCAGAAGGCAGAAGGGCGCCGCACAGTCAGCAATGCTAAGTTGGTGGGGACGTAGTAAGTAGGAGCGCCAGACGGTTACGAGTGTGCCGTGAGACCATGAAAAGGGCGCCATTCTCCTAGAAGGGCGCCGAGTGATTGAAAACGCTATGTGGTCCATGGGCGCTGAAAGACCACAAGGGCGCCGAACAGTCGAGGGATGCACGGTGGACAGAGACCTACTAGGGCGCGAGACGGTTAGGCGCCGTTAGGCGTTAGACCATTAGAATGGCGCGGTCCTGTCAAAAGGGCGCCATTTTCCCAGAAGGGCGCCGAGTGACTAAAAAAAGCTATATTATCCAGGAACGCGGACGGTCAGGACGCCGTTAGAGCATGCGAAGGGCGCCGTGCTCTCGAAAGGACGCTTGTAAAAGACTTGTGGGTGCCCATCATTGTTGGGGCATAATTCAGGATTGTGGGTGCAATGTGCATCTGCCCCCACAAAGAAATATAAAATTACACCCCTGTTCCTCACAATGAGAATCATTTTCAAGCTTCAATTCTGACTTAACCCTCGCCGGACCTATTGGTTTTCTACATACGCGCCGGCCGAGGGGGGGGGGGGGCGGGTACGACCCCCCTCGCCGTTTCGCCCCTGGTGGAGCTAGCGCGTCGCGGAAAAAACGAGCGTGTGCGCCGTTACGAGACGCAGAGATTGGTACCCGATTTTAAGGTCCTAGGTCAACCGGTGACCTCTGAGGTCAGGTCAAGTGCCCCAGGGTACGGTTCAGTTTTTGGTGAATAACTTCGCAAAAAAAACGGCCGCAGAGCCGCGATTTTGGCAGCATCGTGTTCGCCTCGCTCAGGCGCGTCGAATGATATACTTTTTGTCCGGGTCAGGTCAACTTAGGGTGTTGACCTCAGGTCAAGGTCAGGTCAGCACCCCCAGGTCACGAAATTGGTCGAAAGAGGTCATGTCGCATATCATTCGATTTGGCAGGTCTTCCTGAGTCCATTGGTGGCTTTCTCGACTCGCTAGCTTAATTTGATCGGGAGTTATTGACGAAAAACTAATATGACCTTGATGACGTCATAAATGACGTCACGCAAGGTCAACATTGCAAAAGTGACGCATCTAACCTTGCAAGGAGTGCATCAAATCACGATTCTGTGTGCTTGAGACAGTTGGAGATCGTTCCCGGCGCCAGAATAGCAGTTTTCATTTTTCCCCATTGACTTATAATGGTGAGGTCACGAAAATGACCTGACCTCATATGACCTTTAGGAAAAATCCGAGATATACAAGTTGTGAGACTCATAATGGATACTAGATCCTGCAAGTTTCATTTCCCTGTGACATCTCCTCTGGCAGTGAGGGCGTTGCGAAGTTGCGAGTTGCGACATCTGAAGACCGTGCAGAGGTTCACTTATGACGTCATAGGTCAGTGACCTGACCTGACCCAAAAATGCGGTTGGTGTCAAAAGATGCGGCTTGGATCAAAGGTCAGGTATGCCAAGTTTCAGCTCTCTATTGCCAGCGTGTTCGGAGCTATCGCGAAAAAAACCCTATGGGGGGGGGCGGCACCCCCCCCCCCCTCGGCCGGCGAGGGTTAAGGCTTTATCGGAGTAAAGTCTTCATTCAATTGTTACATTAGCAAACTCCACATCATGTCCTTTAGTTCATTGATTTCGAAATTTAGCGTCAAATGTCGGGACACCGCATGAGTGCAGTGCCCTTAATTTTCGCCTCAACCTTCTTTAAGGGGTCTCTACGTGCTCCTCTACGTGCTCCTCTCTACGTCTCTACGTGCCCCTCGCCACGGCCTAATGGACCATCGGGGATGACCCGACCTGTGAAATCTAACTTGACCAGACCCTGGTCCTCGACCCTTTCGTCAAAAGTCCAAAGTCGGGGTACCACAAATGACGTAAATGCCCTTAACTTTTCTCTCGTCAGATCGTTTTTTAAAGGGACCCTCCCACCTTCAAAAAAGTTTATGAATTGGCATGAAAGTGATGTCGCTCGATTCAGAAAGAGCGAAAACGAATATCTACCAAATTTCACCGAAAAATATTCACCGGTTTTCAAGATATTTGACTTTTATTTTTGTTTACTTTTTGGGATCTCCGCTGTTCCTAGCGACTTTACTTGGAAGCAATAATTTGGCAGCTTAAAGTGCGGCACTTGTTGCTACAAAGCAGCATATACCACAGGCATATTTACGTCTGGACAACGAGTTGCGGGGAAAAGTGCTGATTTTGTTGCAGATTTAGGAGCCGGTGATTAGGCTGGATTTTTGGGTTACTTTTTCGTTCCGATTCATTTATTTCATAGTGTTTGGCTTTTGAATATTCTAGTTCTTTCAGATAAATATTACTTGCCTTACAACTTTTGTAAAAACGTTTCATTTTTTATAAGCCGACCTTTAGAGTCCTAAAAATATATCAGCACTACAATCATTGTAAACAAACAAATGGAGCACCACTTGGCTCAAACTTGGCTCTGTTCCAAGGCGCTTTATCTGGTGGCTTCCGTACTCTTGTACGTCGTTTTGTTGGATGTTTTGGATCCCTTAAGATTGACTTATATCATATTTAAGAAGCATGTGACTGAAAACAATCCGAAGTATCCAGGAGGATGACAGAGGCAGAGCAATATCAATATCAAGTTGAACTTGAAGTCATGAAATTTTGGTTGATAAACGCAAGTTGATCGGGCTCATATATCAGCAAAAAAAAAGTAAAATTAAAAGACCTTATTGGCCGAAAACAAGCTATAATATTGCAGATCTTGGAGCAATACTGAAGAGCACGCTGAGCAGGATCATGCCAGAAAATGTTGACTGATGAGCGCATATTGATGTATTGGTATGAATATTGAATGATAACAACAGCAAGATAAATTAGTGCTAACTATCAAGTTAAAAATCTAGAATGAATGGACTTTGGCAGCTTTACTATGCTTAGATGCTATGCAGATTGTATGTGCATCAGGTACTCAGTGTCTGGCAAATGAAACATGCGATCATTCCATTGCTACTGCAACTGGAGGAGAAAGCTTGGATCACGAAATCCACTTTATGTTGATTTTGATGTTAATCATTACTGTATTTCTTGAAAAAAGGATTGCTATAAAATTGTCAATGTGACAATCTACCTGTATGCAACGATGTGATCATATGATGTGTTCATAGTCATTCATGATAGTGATTCATGATTGTTGGTCCAATATACAATGG